CTGCTGAACATTAAGAGGCAAGGATATGGTGGAGTTATATTTCTCTTAGCTTATTTTCATTTTCATGATTTATTTATTAACTTCTGGTAGTGCCCATTTTACTTACAGACAAGTTTACAACTGTATTTTTTGGACTTGCAGAATTCAACCTGGCATTTGGAAACCAGTTCCCATCCCTGACTTACTGCAACTCTTAAACTCCTAGAAAAGCCAGTATTTATTGTTACTTGAATGAATTTCTAAATATGAAAAGATATACTTGAAATCGTGACTCAGCTAGAAACTTCTAAATGTGCAAACAGGATACCAGAATTAAGACAAACATTAGTAGAGGTGCTTGAAATAAATCTTCACTTGAATAATCTCAAACAGTAATTCCTCGGGTGTCAAAAATTGCAGTATGCACAGTGTTAAGAACTTCCCTCTGCAAATGGAAGGTTAATTTTTCAGCATTGTAAAATGTGAAAATTAAACCAAAAAATGTCAGAAAGGTAGGAATGTTGGTAGTTCTTAAAATACTTGAAATTTTGTAGTGCCATGATGTTATGCCATCACTTGTGTCCTTTACGCATAAGATTTAACTTTTCATACTTAGATTTTCCTTTCCCTTTTCTTGAATTTGCTCATATTTAGAAAGTAAGAAACATGGCCCTGGAAGATGTAGTCATTCTTAATGTAGACACCAATACACTGGAAACCCCTTTTGATGATCTTCAGAGCCTTCCTAATGATGTGGTATGTATGAAATTACTTACTCAATTATTCCGTTACTTAAAAGTGTAAATCCTTTTGAGCTGTTCGGTACCTGACGTGTCTCATTGTGTTATTCTTGTTACTATAGATAAACTGCTTTACCTCAATTTTTTCCTGTTTCATAGTGTTAAGCAATGTTTGTTTGAACATTTGCAGACATATTTTTAAGCCTCCTAAAGAAAATTATCTAATGCTCACGTAAGCTAGAAATGCTGCAGCAACCCAGTTGTAACTTTGGAACAGCATGATCAAGTTTCCAAGGTACTAGTCTTTTATGGGTAAAAAAAAAAAAGACACAGGTTATGATACATCTGAACAGGAAATAAAAATTTGAAATTCTTTCTTCATGGTGTAAAAATTGCTACCATTTGAAACCATCTTTATTCATTCCATTGAGGGGGGGGAAATCCTGCATTTTTAGATAACTTTTGTTTCCAAATGAAGCTGTGTGGGTTTTTTCCTGTGACTTCTTCCAGGTGAGCTTTAATGAACTTCATGCATTTTTTATCCCAACTTACAATATCAAATGGACTGCTTCGTATTCACTTCTAGCACTGCTCAGTGCATATAATTCAGAATGTATTTTCTTTCTCATTCAAACTTCTTATTGGTAATTTATTTATTTTTAACTTGATAGAAATGTTGTATAAATACTTGATATTTCCCTTTAATGGGACAAAAATACATCCAGCTTGCTACTTGCTGCTGTAATCATCTTCACTAAAGAAGCTGAGAGGGAAGAGCAGTAGAGTGAGTAAGAGTGTAAGAAGCTATTTTTAAGTCAGAGGGTGACTGTTTAGGAGAAAATGTCGGGAAAATCTGGATTTCTTTTAATAGTTCAAAATATTGTGCTGACAGTTAGAGCTATACCTTTTTATGTGTAGTTGAGAAATAAAATTGGTATTCAGGGAGCTCAGTATAAGCTGGTCTGTTTGAGGAAAAACTCAAGTAATGGTGAATACCCGGTGCCTCCTGCTGTGACATCCCATCATTTCTCTGTGATCTGTGGTGCCATCCGTTCTTCGAAAACAGAGAGCTCTGGATGAAAGGTCCGTCTTAATTGTGAACGTTTCGGCTTTAGCCAAGCATTTAGTCTAGAAAAGTTACTTCCATGATTTTTTCTGGCTTTATATAGCTTCTCATTTTGATTTCACTCCCAGCATCCAAACCTGCCAGCTGGTCATCGCTCATGCCATTATCCACAACCCGGGGAATGAGAGACCTGTAAATTTCATGGGATTATGTAAGAAATGTCTGGATACAGTGAGTGCGGGGCCTCAAACATGTATATGATTTGTCAACAATCAAGTATTATATTAGATTTTATGAGACTTCATTAAAAAACTGTTGTAGGCGCACTGTAGAACATCAGAAGAGACTTCACCAATAAACACAGAACTTCAAGCTTTGGAATGTAATAAATTTTAAGAGACTTCCTTCCTTTCATTATTTACTTTTACTTCACTTTTGTAACAGTAGAGAGTTGTGTTTTATTAGTTCAGATTTCTTGATTCAGTTTTCCACAGGTCTATTTAAAAGCTACATTTTATCTTGGAGGATGTTTGGAGCATAGCAGAGGAAGTGCTGCCAGCAAATTCAATTAACTGGCATGGCTCACAAATAGTGTACATGGTGAATTTTTTTTCACAACTTCTATATAAATACAGCTGGGATTAATATTTGTCGCAAGAAAGCCTTAACTTGAATTGTGTTGTGTTGTGTAATTAATGTTTGGGATCAGTGTTTATGTCTTATTTAGCTTTGTTTCATTATTTTAGTTACCTAGATAATGAAGTATTCTCCTCTAGGTCTTTTCCTTCAGACTGCTTAATATTTGGCTTTGACCACTAGAGAGCAGCTGCTCTTCTTTGCAAGAATTGAATTTCTGTCAGTTCTTTCATGCATCATGTGTTTGGAACTGTAAGTGGATCAAGTTGTTCATCTCAGCAGGGAGACTCTAAAGCCAATCCATTATACTTTTTTTTCTTCTTTTTTTTTTTTCTTTTTCTCTTTTACTTCCCTGGGAGGATGGGGAGATTCTGGGAGTCTGCCTCCCCACTGGTCTCAGTCTAAATAGATGCATTTATGATCTGAGAAACTAAAAATGTCTTCAACAGTTTAATGATCATAAATGGCTGTTTTGTCAAACTATTCTGCCAGTTTTGCTACCTAATGTGAACAGTGAGCAACTCGTGCACTGCTGAATAGACACAAAATTTGCTTTGCTAGATTAAATCCATCTATATCCAACAGTGAGGAAAACCATCTTGTGTGTGATGCATTTGCCATGAGGTAATTAATCCTGTGGAAAACTTTTAACGCTGTTTTTCCCCCCTCTCCTTGGACAACTTTTTTAGTCACGTAAAACAATGCCATGAAGTCCTATGATTATTTTAGAGCTTCAGGTAGTGAGTTGTGCTTGAGTTTCATGATAGTCATGTTGCTACCTAAACTGTTGATTCCCAGGAATCTAGAATGAGCTATTCATTGATCTTTTACTCCTAGGATCCAAACAAACACAGGCTATCATGAAATGCCTTTCCAGTTAAGATTTGTGTCAGAGGAGATGGATAGCATTGGAGGCAGTTCCAGCAGAATCAGATTAAGTAATTTCTTTGCCCCGGTTTACCTCAGCAGTACGTGCTAGCACTCAGTCTTCCTGAACTGTTCAGGTCAGGTCCTTGAAAATCAAGGTGTGTGCTACTGCGTTACTGATTAACTATTCGAAATGTGAAAAACTGTCCCTCCTTCACCTTCTGCGTCTGATATGCTGCTGAAAATCTGGCAGTGTGAGAACGCCCTGGGAAGTAACTTTCCTTTTAAAATAGTCAATATTAAAAAAAGAGATTTATTAAGGACTGTGATTACAATAAGTGCATCTGCTGCTGACAAGTCTCCTACACCACCGTCTGTGTTGCAAGGAATAGCAAAGAGGGGGTAGTAATTTTTTTTATGCAACCCTTATGGATTTTTCATGTATTTCCAAATAAGTGTCATCTTCTAGTCTTAGTTGTAGTCAGAGTTGCATGTTACAAGGAATAAAGCATAAGCTCACTCTGTCAACTTGTAGTTTTTATTAAATGAAGCCCTGATGCAATGCAGTATACTGCGCCAAAGAGATCTTGCGTATCTGATGGCTGTGAGAGTATTGTAAATTTGCACTAGCCTATGAATATCTCAGGCTGTCAGCAATTTAGTTGTGCATGCTACTGCTGTCCATTCATTAACAAGTTACCACAAGTGGGAAGCCTGTGTTACTGTTTTTCACATAGTGGGAAATTAACTGCTTTCAGGACAGCAAGAACTACTAAACTACAACTCTATAGCAGAACCATTTTCTTAAAGGTGAATCCATTTTTATTTCTTACACTGTGTTTGCAATAGAATGTTTCTTGCTTTATTCATGTTGACAACTGAAAAGCCTTGGACCTAATTAAAAGAATTTCCACTAGCACCTTTACTGAACCATTTCATTATGCTGCATTGCACAGATTGCATTTTGAAACATGGTGATAGTTTAAATCTGACCTTTAAACCTGAACTGCCAGAAGTATAAAAATCTTCCTTAAAAACACTCTCAGGGTAGACTGCATGTATATGTGCCTGTTTGGCTAGAAATAATCTTCCTATTGAGTGGTCACAGTCTTAAAAATAAGACTTTAAAAAAATTAAGTATTACTGCCTGTTTAGGCAGGAAACAATCATAATCCTACTTTGTCTTATGTACTAATTTATTCCAGAGTAAACATGAATTCTTTTTTTTCTCACTTGTTAGTCTCTTTAAATATGTGTTAAAATGTTCTTTTTTTAAAAACTATGACATGCCTATTGCAATACTCCTGATTGAAAGAGTAAAAGCATGCATATATAAAATAGACATCCTACAGTGTTCAGTTTAGTCTTAGAAGAGAGCAAATGATCTGAAAGCGTAAGGAATTAGCAAAATACCTATTGATATTCTGTTTCTATACCTAATAGGGAAGATGAAACACAGCAGAAAGGCTGTGACTAGCCTTCTACACTTTCAGTTTGTTATAAAATGAAGCATAGAGCCTTTAACTTCTGTGTAGATGGCAAGTTCTTTATCTTCACGTGAATGTTTAAAGAAAACCACTTATAAAAATGTTGAGATGGATTTGGAAGTTACTTAGAGCTATAGACAAATGCTATTGCATTTTTATATTACATTTAAACCTTTAAATTGTTTACATAATATAGGAAATAAATGCATATTTCACCCCTACAACATCAGACCCCTTCAAACATGGAGAAATGTGGTGTTTGGGTTTGAAAATCTGATGCAGCTTTTACATGTTGAGAATAATAGAGCTCCTTGAGAGACATTATCTCAGTGCATAGGAGTGAGCTTATTTTATGGGCATGATAGACTAAATATGTTACGATGTATTATGTTAATGTGTGCTTATGGGCTCATTAATGCACGGATCATTGGCATAAGCCACAGCATTCGGATTTATAAACAATACTGGACATGCTCTTGCTTATTTCTGTTATACTAAGTAACTGTAATGAAATTCCTTCTACAACAGAATCTGCAGAAAATTTAAAAGGAAATTTCTTGCAACTGTTTTGGTAAACACAGGTGCAAATATAACATCTAGTTTTAAAAGAAGAAGAAATAGTGCGCGGTATGGATTACATATTTAACACCTATATAGCAAGATGAGTCGTCACGTTCTTGCCCTTGCCAAGTCTAAGACTACTGAAGGAGGCGGCGAGGGGATGTGCTTGCAGGAGGGAGAGAGCTGGAGCGCTCAGGAACAGTTCTGTAAAATCAGCCTGCCCTTTGCTGCTACAGCGGGCTGGTAGCAAAACCCCGAGGCCGAAAAAACTGTCTGGTAGGATTTTGGAGATAGGATGAGTTCGGAGTAAGCTTTTGATAAGAGCTGGAGGATGGGGGGAAGGTCTTGAAAGTTTGAAGATTTGAACCATCAGCTTGTATTTTATGAGGTATCTTCATACTCTCAGGAAACACATTTTGTTATGTTCACTACAACAGAATCTGCTTACACTGTAAATAATATTCCTACAACGCTTCTTGCATGGTGTGAAGTATATAGAGCTACCCCAATGGCATTTTTCAGAATAACATTTGAAAAAGGAAGATTTGCTAGTTCTTGATAGAATTATTTCTGTTAAATTCATAATGTGGATATTTATGGAGTCATTCATGCCTGGTTATGGCAAATCAAGATGACCAGGGATTTCCTGGCTTTCTGCGTTCCTTCTGAAATTGTGGCTCCTTCCTGCCTTCTGTCTGAGGTATCATCAAACTTGGATTTTGCACATGACATGACAGCATCCTCTAAAAGCACTAGTTGAATTTCTTTCAAGAGTCAGTGCCCAGATTGTTGATTCTCTATTGCTATTGTTGTGTGAGATCTGTCTCAAACTTAGCTTGCCCTGGTTCTGCATGCAACACCAAAAAATTGCTACTGACATAACTATTTGTTAATGATTTAATGTAACCTATAACCGTTGTGGCACAGGCCCAGCAAGCTTGATGTTAACCTTTGAAAGGATTTTTTTATCTCCTTTCCCAGCTTGTGTTTGGTAAAGAAAAATGCTGTCACTAACAATAATAGATAGATACACAAGCTTACTTCAGTAGCTGCTGAGCTCTAAGCACCAGAAAAGAGACATCAAACTAAGTCACAACCTTCTTGTATGTATGAGACATTCCGAAGCACAGAGAGCCGGAATGGATAATCCTGTAGAACTTCAGCCCTTGGTGTACCAGAAAATGAGAACTGTCAGGTCACCTGGATCATGGTAGTTTTAACTCTGCCTGCGTAGAAACGAGTTTAGTTGGAGTTTGCCAAGTTGTGATCGGTAAGAGTCTCCGTGTAAATGGTAATGAGGCCGTTAGGGCCCTGTTCGCCCCAAGTGCCGCTCTGTGAATCCCGAGGTAATTAAACACCTCCACAGTGGAAGGGAAGGGCAATGAGGGTTAAGAGAAGAGCCCTCCTGTGCACAGGTGGTTTAGATCCCCTGAGAAACAAGAAGGAAAAAAAACTTCAGCAGATACTGACCATTTTGAGGGACAGATGTTGGTGTTAATTTGAGACTTTTAAAAAACGGCAGGGTTTGTTTTCTGGACTGGGTGTCCGTCGAGGCGTCGGCAGGGAGGCTGCAGGGCCTCTGTGAGCAGAGGCCAGGG